GTAGAGAATTTTATTTTTCCTTTGTCGAAGTCTCAATTTCTTATGCCTTACGCTGAAATGTAAATCATTTTCGCACTCAGCAGCTGTCGAGGTTCTCGTAGAATATCCGTTTTGCGATCACGACTCGCTGCGCGAATGGATCACTGTTGTAACGTAAGGGCGACTGAAAGGATCCTCGTTCAGATCATGCAGCACCTATTTTTCCAGCTTGTTTAGGTTATTCATTTAACTATGAACAGGTTTGGTATTTCTGTATACAATAAACCTAATGAGTCAGCTTTGATCACGATAGTCAACTTTTCATCATCTACCTTCGCAGCGTGTCTTCGACAAGACTGATTTTTGATTTCCGGAACTCTTTGAATTAATGGCTTACGATGTTTTTAGTAGTAAGACCTTCATCGGATGTAAGCATTATAGAGCTCAGACTCATAAATCAGTCGAATTTTCTATGTCGTATGGCCCCTGTACGACGGTATGCAAACAAATGATTTCAGATACCAAGCAATACGAATACGAACTCGAATAAAAGCAAAAGTGCTGCAAAATGTTCCATCGTCAAAAAATAGCATCAGCTAGAAATAAGAGATTAATTTTTATCAGATTTTCTTATAGACGACCTAATATTACACTTCACATATACGCGAGCAACTCGGTACATAACAAAACGAAAAGAAACTCTAAGCTAGGTACATCGGGGTATATTAGAGAGACACTCTCCGTAAAACCTCGAACGATTGACTCATTTAATAGCGGAAAGTGTTTTCTATCGTGCCTTATATTGCCGAACTGCGCGCTTGTTGGCAGCGACATTCAAGTGCTTATGTATGTATCAAACAGACAGCAACGGCGAGAATGATGCTTACTATCACGATACCGAAATAAGGCAAAATCTCAATACAGTTCCTACGGAATAGGCCAACACTGATCTACATCAGAGTATCAAAGCCTATCGTCGAGGAACGAACGCGCAAATTTATGGTTCTAACAAAATCAACATGGTCAACAAATTTCCCCGACGACGGCGACATCCGAATTGAACGATAAGCGGATTCAACCGGTAAAAACAACGACTGAGACAAACAAAATTCGGACCTTGGTACTTGCTACAGTACCTTATCGATCGGTTGAATGCGACGGTAACGTGAATCTGACGCCGCTACCAGTACTAACGGCTGCCCCGGAAGCCTGTCTTCTGCGGTGATCTAAACCCAATCGGTCTGCCTCTTGTAGCGATTTAACCAGTCGCTGGTTTGCTGGCCTATTTTTAGGTTTCATGGTTTGGTCGCTTCGACATGTTCAATCAAACGTACGCTTCGCCGCTGCCGCATGATTCGTGAAGGACAAGTCGCTAGCAGTATATCAGCCAGCGGCTAGAGCTTTTATACCTTAATCGCTGCAGGGTTACTAGCTGTTCATTGTTTACACTGTTGACCGTAACAACGTATTTCAGGCTGTGGAAGACCCAAGGAATATCGCCGTGCAGAACGTGTTTAGTTTGCAAAACGAATCCTGGATCAAAACAAAGTATCATCACCACCACCAGAGAGCGCTGCATTGGTATAAAAAACGCGAGTCATCGGCTGGGTTCAAGTGTTTATGTTTCAGGTTTACGACAGCTATAATCTATCTGTTGTCCGTGTCACGACAACGAGTGCATCATTTTATTAAAAACACTATTTAAATTTGATTCTGTGTGTTTTTTAGTGTGAATTCTCACTTCAGTGTTTCGAATTTCGGCCAGGGGCTGCCGTCAGCCACGGTTTCAGGTAGAATATCATTGGTCAGTTATAAAACAGTCTCGTTTGACTTTATATGGAGCTACAAAAGGAAAATGACTGAAACAACACTTCGTGCCGGTAGAAACCACAAGCCAGTATGAGTTCCGAGCTAGTTATTGCAAGATTCTTTCCATGTTCCCTGACGCTTCGTCAGCAGTCAAACGTGGAGCGTGGTAGTTCCTATCGGCTAACTATCCCCCAGTAACTGTCCGGCAAAAAAAGACAATTCCATACCCCTCTTTATGCGTAGCTCATGCTCTATCCGGAAGTTAGGAAAAGATCCAATGATGATGAGGTCTAGAAGCTTGGTAACAGCAAAGAGTACGCATGGTGAAGACTGATGATAATGTTGAAGAACAGAAAGATGTTAATTTCAAAGGTGTCCCTAAATGATAGGCCTGCAACCGGTTAGTATCAACAGAGTCTTAGAGAGGGTGGAACGCTCCGGGACTATTCACAGTAGGCTCTTGTTAATTTAGTGGAACTTAACAATAAAGGAACTTTTGTGAAGGCGGTTTGACTCTTTGTTCGACGGGAAGCATACGTGGGAGTTCATTCTTTTTTCAAGGTGAACCATAATCAGATTCAACAAATGAAAACATGATACTTGTTTAGGCCAGTAATTGACAGCAAAACCCTCAACGTGAGGACTATACGTGGGTCGTTAAAAAAAAAGATCATGTTTTGCGAAATCCATCCCAAGTGGTTCAGAAGTTAATATTCATCTTAGTACATTTCGCTGAAGAACGCGTGTTTGACAGAGGGATCATTAACGGGACTCAAGCATCCCAACAATTAACTACATTTCACTGGCTACTGAAAATCTTCTAATAAAGCTCTTCTATCATTGGTAAAGCTAGTCACTGCCGGCTGACCGCAGCCATACACAAGAAATATTATTCTGAATACAAATGCATCCAGCCTAAATGATAAAAACGATCAACAATGTAGCGGCAGGTTCGGCTATGGACTTCGTAAAGATGATGTGAAGATCGTGACTAAACGATTCGTAATGTCAGTTCTACTTCATAGAGCAGATTTTCGTTGGGTTAGGAGTTCCTCGGTTAAAGCGATATCTGTTTAACAGCTAAACACATGGTGCAAATATATCCCGTGGTGTAGGTGGCGGGTTGCTTATATGCGTAAATGAAACCCGATCAAGTTAATAGGTTATAATTATACATACATTTATATAGGCAAGTAAATTTTGCTACTAATATAGGTAAACGTTATTAACGTAATGGGAAAAACTCATGTTTTTGCTGTTTCTCTTTGGGCAATGGTTTAAGCTAGAATTTAGGTGTGCCTTGTTCAAAGTAACACGGATACACACGAGTAACACCACAGACGAATTCACAATATGCATATCCACGTAGTCGTACCACTTTCAGAACAGTTATCGGTGCTCAGAGGTTTATGTCCAAGAAAAAAAAACAAATTTATATTTTGATATATAAAACAAAAACATTTAGACATATAAGCTCAGCAATGTAAATATGGTAAAGTAGGAAAACAGCGTCGACCTGACATAAGACAGAGCTGACTGGCGTTTCAATTAGATATTGATATTCAGAAATTAGCTCTGCCAAGACGCCGACCTCATTAGTTCTTCGTGCATCTTTTTTTTCGGTCATATAAGACTATGAGGCTACTGCGTAACTGTATTTAGAATTCAGGCCGTAATCCCACTTCAGGTATTTTTAACATTTAGTACGTGCAATACGTGGGGCAACGACTCAGTAGTTGTCATTCTTTTTACACGGTTAGCTCGATATTTTGGTTGATGATATTAGTGACCGCGTGACGAGCTGCTGCTATAGGATCATCGAATCGGTGGTGCTTCCTGCTGGGCATCTCCTATCTTCACAAATCCTACAGGCTTTGCTTTGAAGAGCTTAATGCCCAGTTCAGCGGTCAGATTGGTGCAATGAAAGATAAGAATACTTATGTCAACACAACTTCAAGCCCTAATTGAAATTACGGCATGAAGTCTGCTCTCTTGGCAGACCCAAGGCCGAGGAACCTAAAATCAACCGCATCAATTTTTGTTAGTAAAATATTGAAAAAGACCAGCTGAAGTGTCTGGGGTACGGGAAACAAAGCTTACTACAGTTCTCACTAAGCTCTGTGGTCGTCAAAGTATCTGAACTGAACCAGTAAAAATTTTTGTTTACCTAAAAGGTATTTATAGACATTATGGAAAAATAATAGCAATCATCGAAGATCTCGTTGTTTCTCAATAGCTGTGTATCTATAGTACGAATCTGTGTCACTATTTTTACTAACCTAATTTAGCTACCTATTTCATCTCAATAAGACGTTTGTATACAATATATTTAGGTCATCGATAATCTTATGAAATAGAAGTAACCATTAGATAGATTTAAGCTTTCAAAAAAAAGGGGGTTGAAACGCTGTCTCATCATACTGGCCCCTTTTCCCAGCTGAATGCAGCACTAGTATGAGAGCGCGCCTTGTCATCAGATTACGCTGAATTTTATGGCCACCCGTCTATAGGCGCATATACGTAAATTTCCCTCTCTAGCAGTTACTGGAAGATGTCAGTGTTTATACTTTACGCTAATCTCCTAGAGGGCAAATCATTAAGATCTGTGTAGTTCTCGTTGGTCGCTAATATCACATACATCGATTAGTAGATATCTGCGTGAAAGATGTGCATATTTGCTTTTTATTAGATTGACTATACAGTCCTACATACATATGGCGCGAACGTTGGGAACGGCGGTGCTTTTTGTTGAAACTACGTCGTTGTCATGAAACGAGCGGACTAGAATGTCTGCAACGCAAAAACTCGTGAATCAAAGGGCCTTGATGCGGCCTACTGTCACTGTTTAGGCTCAAGACTTCTTTTGTTGCTCGCCACGTGCTTGAATGCGCGTATATATACGTCTGTAATAAACAGCTGCGTCATTCAATGAAAACTCGATCGAATCACTTAGAGTGGTCACCATTAAAACACAGCTTTGATAGTTTTTCTTGCTCTATTTAATTGTAATTTTTTGTTAGCTAGAGACGGGGCGGACGTACTCCTACTCGTCCCGTTTCGTGTGGCAACTACACAACAGTTTCAACATCCATATCCTTACTACTATAACCTATTAATATAATCGAAAATGTAAGTCTACAGAAAACATTATCCGCTGCCTGCATATTATATATAAACTAGCGCAGCAGTGTTAGATATCAGTGTATATTGGGTATTCAATTGAGTGCGTTCATCAGCTGTTAACGGAACGAAGCCAAAATTTGAAGTCGGGTGTAGGCGAACCAGTGAGGGTCTGCGAAGTGTGTGGAATTACTTCTGCCTCGGCAGTAGCTTGGGTATGTCTGTTGTATTCGTTCTGAAAATTTTCCGAGCTATTTACTGGCTGGCAGTCAATGTAGTACAAAGTAATTTCTCAACAGTGTGGTACTGAAGGTTAGTCGACATCGGATTAATAAGGGTGTTTTTTTCTGAATCGGCGCACTAGCGGTGACTGGGTACCTGTTGCCAAGCAATTACCGGTGAATATGGTCCACGCCGGTGATCGTAGATGGAAGAGGATGCGTCGCGGAAGAGCTAACCGGCGAGTTCGTGGGTCGGGCCCCGAGTTCCTCGATCTGGTGCGGTGGGCTATCGGAAGGGATTTCCATGAAACTAGTATTCCCGAGCCGCTATGGAAGGACGATTTCGAGGTTGAGGCGCTCGTAAAGTCATGCTTTGGACATATGGATGATCCTATTGACGCAAATGAATATGCTGTGGCAATATTTTTCGATGATCCTGCTCCTCGCCACACACCGATAGCGGCTTACGACCGTGAAGGGTGGAACGAAACCTTTAATAGTTTAGATCATTTAAAAGTGAGTATTCCGTACAATGCTAACCACCTCCTCGTGGAGGGCTTGCCGGAGATCGTAAGTCTAGATGCAGAAAACGGCCCGCCGACGTTCGAGTTGCATACGCGAAGAATGATATATCAGCCAATTACAGTTCCGCTACTGATTGCATCGCAAGACTTAAGGATGGAAGGGCGATGGCAATACGTTTTAACTTTACGACTCGTGCAGGACCCCGATAGCGAACCCGTGTATACTGTCGATGGCGACCCGTATACATGGGAAGTAATTGTCGAGCTGCGGACTCGAGATTCTGCTAATGCGGGGCAACGGCTGTCTTTCATATCAAGACTGTTAGACCGAGTGAGACGGAGATGATTAGAGAGATGGAATGGAACAGGATTAGAGAGATCGAAAATGGAGATGGAATGGAACAAGATTAGAGAGATCGGAAAAAGATTAGAGAGATCGGAAATGGAACGGAATTAGAGAGACGGAAATGGAACGGAATTAGAGAGACCATTGAGATAGAGAGATCGGAAATGGAACGGAATTAGAGAGACCATTGAGAGATCGGGAGACCATTGAGATAGAGAGATCGGAAATGGAACGGAATTAGAGAGACCACTGAGAGATCGGGAAATGGAACGGAATTAGAGATCGGAAATGGAACGGAATTAGAGAGACCGGAAATGGGGAAATGGAGATGGAGGAACGGGATTGGTGGAGATGGAATGGAACGGGATTAGAGAGATGGAATGGAACGGGATTAGAGAGATCGGAAATAATGGAACGGGATTGGTGGAGATGGAATGGAACGGGATTAGAGAGATCGGAAATGGTGGAGATGGAATGGAACGGGATGGAATGGAACGCGATTAGAGAGATCGGAAATGGTGGAGATGGAATGGAACGGGATGGAATGGAACGGGATTAGAGAGATCGGAAATGGTGGAGATGGAATGGAACGGGATTAGAGAGATCGGAAATGGTGGAGATGGAATGGGAAATGGTGGAGATGGAATGGAACGGGATTAGACTCGGAAATGGAACGGGATCGGGAGAGAGATGGAACGGGAGAGATCGGAAACGGAACGGGATCGGGAGAATAAAATACATAGAACGGGATCGGGAGGACCGGAAATGGAACGGGATCGGGAGACGGGAGAGAGATGGAACGGGATCGGGAGAATAAAATACATAGAATGGGATCGGGAGGACCAAATATAAATGTAAATAAAACTGATATATGACGCATTGCCCACAAATTTAGCCATTCGCGATTCGGACATCGCTAATGAAATATATTCAAGGATACACGGACAGCGGCAGGCTACACGGACAACGACAACCCTACACGGACAGCGGCAGGCTACACGGACAACGACAACCGAACTCAAGGCAGGAGACTGACAGAGAGGATGTGACCACGATGTGATGTAGTGCCGAGACGACGTTTCTAACATGCCTTAACTCTCTAAACAGTGGAAGTGTAGATCTAATATATAATAACCACACCACCTTTGTAGCACCCACCGTTTGGTGCTACAAACCACACCCACCGTCGTGACCCACCGTTTGGTGCTACAAATCACTTAACTCTCTAAACAGTGGAAGTGTAGATCTAATATATAATAACCACACCACCTTTGTAGCACCCACCGTTTGGTGCTACAAACCACACCCACCGTCGTGACCCACCGTTTGGTGCTACAAATCACACCCACCGTTTGGTGCTACAAATCACACCCACCGTTTGGTGCTACAAATCACACCCACCGTCGTGGTGTAGATCCTTTGTCCTTTGTAGCACCCTCTCTAAACAGCGCAGGTGTAGATCTAATATATAATAAACCACACCCACCTTTAAACCACATGTAGCACCCACCGTTTGGTGCTACAAACCACACCCACCGTCGTGGTATAGACCTAATAAGAGAGTGATAAAGAGTTAAAGTCTTTTGCAGTGGATGATAGTAGAAGAGAGTGATAAAGAGTTAAAGTATAGGTTAAAGACGTCGTCATTATAGGTTAAAGACGTCATTCTAGAAAGTTCTTGTTCTTCCCCACTTTAATCTTTTCCCTTTCCCACACTTAACTCAAGGATAGTAAACAGACCACAAAATAAGATATTAAAGACCACAAAATAAGATATTAACCAAATAGTAAACAGACCACAAAATAAGATATTAACCAAATAGTAAAGGTCAGACCCCCTAAGTTCCCCCCTTCCCCCCCGGGTATTAGCGTTCCGATCTGGCGCGCGAGATTGATACATACATTAACAGAAACAAATGTAAATGAGTGAAATCGAATTACAACCATTGTCGCGAAAAGTACCAAAATTAAGAGATAAAACCAAGTGGTCGCGGATTAATAACTAGACCAAGTGGAACTGGATTCTTTAGGAATTTTTTAAGTCCACCGCTTGCAACAACGGCTGTTCATAGTGCTCTTCGTATGGCACGTTCTCATACATATCGTACGTGTCTCAAAGGCACAACGTTACCGTCGTAGACGTAATGTTAAACATACTAGAAAACGCAATAAACCACACTACTGACGCTGAATACGAAAACCTTGCTAGTCTCTTGCTTCTGACAATGGCTACCTTATACTCGGATTCGAAATTGCATCTCAGACTGATACTCCTTATATTCAGGGGCATCTCAGACTGATACTCCTTATATTCAGGGGTATATTCGGTATCATACATCCAGATGTTTCTCACGGGTTAAATCATCCATCTCAGATCGCGCACATATCGAACAAGCCGAAATGCAAAATAGGAAGTATTGTTCGAAGTCTACTGTATTTGAAGAATTCGGGCAAACGAGATTTCATGGCGATAGATCTGACCTCGATTCAGCAATCAAGGCTTTGGTTCATGACGCATCGAGCATTCAGCAAGTGGCTCAAGACCATCCAGCTACACTTCGTTCGTTTCTACAGTGGACTACATGAGTTACGCAATCTCCTGGTTCCAATTGAACCAAGGAACTTTCGATCGAACGTTTGTATCATGTATGGTCCGACACGTATGGGAAAATCCCGTGCTGCACGCAAAATTGTTAATACCACCAACGTATACTACAAGAATTGTTCGCCTTGGTGGCACAACTATAGACGAGAGGAGGCAATTATTCTTTTACGGCTGGATTGCATGGGACAAAGTCCTCAAAATTTGTAACCGGTACCCGTACAAAGTTGAAACGAAAGGCGGCCACGAAGAATTCACACCTAAAACAATTGTCTTTACGTCAAATGCTCATCCGTCATGCTGGTACCGCTTTTGTGGATTTAACGTAGCGCCTCTTCTCTCTGACAGAATCAATGGCTTCGTTAAAAGTTTTTCTGATAATACACCTTTGGATGTTACATATTATAATGAAAAAATTCTGATTTTACATTAATAAATCGATCCTTTGATTTTATTTAAATATAATTTCGAAGTGTATTAACAAACCACATCGTCTGGTGCTAATATGGACGAATTTAACGCCCGTTAAAAATACTCATTTCTACATTTCGATGGTTAGTCATGCCCACAGTACAGCCTACTCCTCCATTCCAAATCACGTTTTACATTGTCAATAAGCCATTTACGCTTTCTAATGTGAGCATGAGGCGGCGTAACCCGAAATAATTGCTGAGCTCAGAAGTAGCAGACGAAAAAATTTAACAGACAAGTAGCTGGTATGACAGCTTACAATTGACTATCGTTACAGATAAGACAAGACAAGATAAGATAACAAGACGATAGCTGTTACCCTTCTCACAGTTTAAAAAAAACTGGCGGACAAATAGTTGCTGTGACAGTATATAACAACGCTTACCTTCGCCTTACCTGTATAATTCGTCCATGCCAGCCGTGAAGTGATACGTCTCCTTACGGCTGATTGAATCTGGACCCATATCACCCACTAAGCTATCACGATGGACAGTGAGCCTATTCATCAATCCACTGTTTAGAGGGTTGTTGTCTGTGTCCCCAACTGAAAATTCAGACAAGGTCAACAATTATCTGGTGTCATAGCTCGCAGGATTATGCATGAGTCATTAAGTTTCGGCATTACACGACCGTTGTTTATTGAGGTTTATGTAGACCGCGAGCTTAACACTTGACCGGCAGGCTTGCGTTCGTTTACGTCAAGGATAGGAAGTTTAATGGATCCATTTACTCATGCCTACAGTTATTCTGTCCGTAGGAATTGAGGTCGGTCGTATCGAACGCAGTGTATCGTGATTTGGTTCACCAGATCGATGAATTTCTGTCAGCGAATATAGTGACATAGTAGTTATTGAAACGAATGCAGAACCCAGGCACATAAGCAGCTAACCCGAAAGACACATTTCAGCAGCATACAACAGTCACCATAACACAGGAAACGTGCTTTAATCGTATGTTCCAGGCACGCCGAAGTGGCCAGCTGCTGCCATATAATGGTCAAAATGTACAACGACAGGCCTTTCAGAACAGGATCGTCTCGTTGACCAGATGAGCGACATGAAACAACAGGACGACTGTCGCATGCTACATAGCTACATAGATAGCTGCGACACAGATACATAGAAGATGTACAGGTGCAACGTCCTGCCCATTACCTACCCTGCGTTTATACCCACCTCTGCTTTGTACTAGCTATCTCTACTGGTTCTCAGCCGGGATGCAGCACACAACGCGTTCCAGCGTTCAAAACGAGCTTCCTGTAATTAGTCACCATGTCGAACAATATATTTTTTCCTATCAAATCCACCCTTTCTAAATGTTTATTAATTAAATGTATGATAAATGAATAAATAAAAAAGAAAATATAAAATTATTTAAGTGAAAGAGCGGACTACCCGGTAGGATAGCTGTTTCATTTAATGCCAAAAATGTCTAATTATAACGCTTGTACATATTAGTTTTAAGGTAGTCAAAAAGGGATTTTTCAAGCCAGTTGCATTTTTTCTTTGTTTGTGAAACTCTGGTTTCGTATTTGTCATAATCTAGACATTATTTCGAGCAGCGAACGTTAAATAAAGCTTCAGCTGTAAATAAATTTTTTCTTGAAATCAATATCAACAATTATAAATGAGCTATATTACAACAAGTGCTTGACAGTGTGGACCACATGAGTACTAGCCAGGGCAAACAGAAGTACTATTTTGAAGATATCGAACGCATTTAAAGGTACTCTTTCTTACAAGCGAACTTACAACTTCTATCCACATTTTAAGCTTTCATTCGATGTCGTTAGTTAAAAAAGAGTTATACATCATACTTAATTATTTTGTATATTATTATTTAATTAACTATTATTATTAAATTGAAAAAAAATAAAATTTAATTAATCTTAAGCTGGTCTTAAGTGTAGTGAGTGATGGTAACTGATAGATTTGCCCTGCGAAGATACTTCTGCGTTTCAGGTCACTTTAGAAAGCGTGTGTGTGTGTGTATATTCATTTATCGAAGGCAGAAAAACAAATTCTAATAAAAATCTTGACTTTTCACAATGAACCGACTTGAAATGTACACTAAAGCAAAGCTCTCCTCATGCTGATATGCGTTTGTTTTTTTGACTGAGTCAATTTGCTACACCTGTCGTCCTTATATTTTTTTCTTATGACGGAAAAATGGATCTCAAACAATTACCTGCATATACCCTGTCTTATGTCGCGCACCAATTATATAATTGGTGCGGCTATCGGGCACGAAGAGAATCGATTGTAGCTGGGCCTCATCGCTGTCTCCCCAGGTGGCGAAGAACTCGAGCGTTTGCTAAAACGCTGAACGTTATCAGCATTTAATTATATAACTTTGGCAAATGCGGTGGCCATTGAGACACTAAGCCTCGACCAGCAAAAACAGTTCCGCATAGTTTAGTAGGGCGCCTTGCAACTCAGTGCCTTTGCAAGCTATGTCCTTTGTATTTCTTTTCTAAATTAAATACGACCAAACATGTTCAAATATAGCATTGTCTATCCTGTCAAATACATACATTTAACATGGATAATATGAAGCAGCGGTACGCGATAATGAGCCTAATATTTATGCTCGTTCAAAAACATTTTTCATAGGAGTATTTCGTTTACGTTCAGAATAATTGTCATGTAACCTTATTTCCGGCCCTGTACGACAACAAAGCGTTGCTTGGTCTTTCAGAAGACCTACAGGAC